AGAGAGAGAGAGAGAGAGAGAGAGAGAGAGAGAGAAATAACTAGTAGTCATATGCTTCTACAATGAATGGTCACTGACTGGCAAATGACCGATACAGCTCAGTTAACCTTTGCAACTGCTAATTATGACTTACTTAAAACTGTAAACAAAGGTCTTAAAACTTTTCCAAACATGTCTTAGATACTTCAGAAATATAGTTCTTGTTCTCAAATGATTTTCAGTTTAGTAGAGGAAACAAAAGACCCACACGTTTAGGAAAGAATATCTCTACAGTGAAATACAGACCTTCAATCATATATGATATTTCAGTGTTTGAAAAATAAGGGTGGGCTCCTGTGCTAGGAGCTAATCTTCACTCATTTTTGACTGTACAATAACGCTGAGTAGCTGGAGGACCCACACAGAGCGTCTGGCTGGGTGTTTGTCAAACACTGGCTTTGGGCTCAGCCCGTCTCCCTGCTCAGCCTGACCAAGCAGCTGCACCCACAGCAACGCAGCTCTGCTTTAGTAGCTGTGTGCATCAGGCATGAAGTTACTATTTGTTTTCATTTGACTAAAAGATTATTTCTTGGCCAGGGATATAGCTCAGTGCCTGCCTGGCAAGCTCAACACCCTGAATTCAATTCCCAGTACCAAAACAAACAACAAAAAGATTACTTCTAACTATTCGGTAGTAAATTACAATTGAACCCTCTAGGCCAGTCTTACCTTTCTAGACTTATTTTTCCTGGTATACTAGTTAAGCTGGAGTTTATTCCCTAAACTAATCAAAGGTATGGAGCAACCATGTTTAACAAAGTAGCCATTAATCACCTGTAGCCATGGGCAACCTAAGCGTGCCCAACCCTCAGATGTTCAGTGAGTGCAATACTGGATTTTAAGACACGGTAGGAAAATAAAAAGCAAAGCATCTCATTCATAATTTTTTACACCAGTCATATATTAAAATAATATTCTAGTGCAGAGTTCACTAAAGTGTATTACTAAAATCAATTTGAACTATTTTTTCTTTTTAAATGATGGCTACTAGAATTTCTAAAACTACACGTGGGGATCACATTTGTACCTCACATTATAATTTCATTGATTAGCACAAATACTGAGAACTATCCCTGATGAAGAAGACAGAAAACTGTCTGTGACAGAAAGACCCACTACTGGTGATTTGTAGCTAAAAGTTTATTGACTTATGTCTGGAGGGATCAGTATACGAGTTAGACACAGCAAATGTGCTGTAATATCTGAGCCCAATATTTCAAATGTGACTAAAAGGGGCCGGGGGATGCCTCAGTAGAATAAGTGCTTCCCTGGCAAGCGCAAGGGCCTGAGTTCAATCCCCGGTTGGGGGTGGGGGGAGCAAACATCAAATGTTACTAAAGAATGCAGTTTACCCTGCTACACAACATGTAGCTGGCAAGTAGAAATTACCAAGGTCACCTCAAGTATGCAGGATGAAGCCCAGAAGGCTACACATTGGCTTCTGTGTAACACGAACGTTCAATTCAAACCTGAGCTTCAGCAAAGTTACGAACTACCACCTGCCCTGGCTCTCCAGGACCCATAGGCATGAAATCTGCACAGGCTAGGAGACTTGACTGGCAAATCCAAGAATCCAAGGTACTGACTGACCTAAGAGCTGGGGGAGTCGACAGAGAAGCAGTGCCGTATTCCCTCCACCGCAGAAGCCCTTGTTCCTATGGCACTGCAGTTGACTGTAGTTTACAATAATTACATCTCCAAAAATACACAGAAGAAAGAAGTTTGAAGACTTTGAAGAAATGCTAGCATCTCAGGATGTGGCCACTCTACGTTGTGCATGTGAGCCAAAGTATCACACTATAAATATATAATTACTTATGCCAACTAAAAAAAGGAGGCAGAAAAATAAAGACCCTTTCTTTTTATTAACAAAGTTTAGGAGCAAAAGGAAGGCAACTAACAATGACAGGCTTATGTGGATTCATAGAAAAAAAGTTCAAATCATGTTTTATGTACAGGTTTTTCTCTTTAGTTTCAGAAAAATCTTTGAAATCTTTTGTTTCCAAACAGCATTAGCCAAAAACACAGTTTTTATGCAGAGAATAAATTGTAATGGAAACAAACTCCTTTTCATCAACATCCAAATCCATGAATTTTTAAAAACATGAAAACATCACTAATTAGAAAAATGATTCAGGTTCGTGGTGCAGGGCACTGTCTGGTGCGGATTCAGTGAGCACTGCTGAGGCCTGCAGGGGCTCTGTCAGCTGGGCACGGGCTAGAGCAAGTGACACCAGTAAGACACTGTGGCATCCTTCACCTGGGCAAGAAAGAGCTCTCCTACCTGAGAAGGCATTCATCTTACTAGGGTTGTTCAGGGTCAGGATGCCGATGCCGCTGTCATCCTTCTGAAGGTCCACAGACCCACCCGGAAACTTCTGGAGCGTTTTCTTCACCTCCTCCTCATGGAAGCCATGAGAGGTGTTATACAGAGACACGCCCACCTGATGGAGCACTTTTGTCCTTGAAGACAGAGTCGAGGTTTTCAAAAGATTGTTGGCCATTTCTGGAAAAGAGAAGTGTGCAGTTATTCGGGTTAGTAGACCTTTATGCTTCAAATGGCATGTGTGAGTAGGCAGTAACAATGGCGGCATGCGCCCACGTCGCAGCGACTCAAGGCGCGGAGGCAAGAAGGCCACTTGAGCCCTGGAGTTTGGGACCAGCCTGGGCAAAAAATGAAAATGAAAATGAAATACAACTCTTCTCGCAGAATTCAATCAATATGGAGTTCCTTTTCTTTTACTTCCTTAAGCCAAATCATTCACAAAGTATACCATTTCAGTATGTCGCTGAGAGATGACGACAAAAGTGAGGTGCATTTACTGGGAAGCAACACAGCAGGAAGTTCTCAGGAGAGCGCTGCGTCCTGCCCTTCGCACCAGGATAGGAGGAGGGCGGTCAACCTCCAGGCAGTTGTGCTCCTCACAGCGCTTCTCTACCCCCAAGCCTTAACGTTTTCAAAATCTGACAGTAATTCAGTCCAAAAGTCCCCTTGGCAACAGTTTCTAGGCAGGATGCCACAAGCACAATCTCACTATCAGATTTCATGCCCTTGCCTTCTGCAGTATTTACACAGAAAGAGCTGGAAAGGGTCTTAGGAAAATGGGAAGAAAGGAATGTGTGTGGCTTGGCATTCTCTCAAGTTTTGTGACTGTCCTTACTTTGTATGTACAACCTTAATAATCTCAGTTCTGTCCATAAGCTTTTTGCCTTCTGTGAAGATTTCTGTGGCTATGAAAGGTACAGTCAGAAAAGCACATAAAACACAAGTTACAATTCAATGAATCTGGACAAGAGGAAAACATTTCAGTAAGTCACCTCCAAGTCAACAGAGAGACCATAACCTGAATTTCACAAGAGCTCCTGAGCCAATTTTTGGTTGCAACATCTCAAGTGAGGTGAAGGAACACCCTATCCTGTAGCACTCAAGATTAGCTCACCTGCTTTGACAGCATAAACAAATTTAATAAGGTAGTCTTTCATGGCTCTTTCACAGCTACTTTATTTTTATGGCACGCATAATTGTCATTACATGTGAAAAGAGTTGGAATAGTCCACTGTCTCATTCTTACATTGATTTATATGAATACACAAAAATTTATCCATTCTAACGTTAACAGACATTTGGATTGTTTCCAGTATTTGACCTTACAAATAGAATGGCTAGGGGCTGGCCAAATAGCTCAGCAGATTAAAGTGCCTACAAGCAGGTGTAGGGGCTGGGGGTTCGATCCCTGGGCCTGCTGTGCTGGCGATTGAGACTCGGCATGGTGGTGTGCGCCTGTAATCCCAGCTCTTGGGAGGCTGTAAATAGGCGGATCACTATGAATTTGATCTAGTAGTGAGACCCTGAACACCCTGTAGGCCCTTCCCTAAAATACAGGGGAAAAAAGAAATAGAGTGGCTATAAATACCTGGGCATGTGTCTTTCGGGCATTATGGATTCATTTCAATGGATAGAGGTCTAAAATTAAATAGTTGATTAGGTGTGCTGCAGTCTGCTATGCACAGGTTGTTAAACGTTGAAGAATTCTCCAAGTTGGTTTTTTAAACGAATGGTAGCTTCGAACTGATCAGTGTGAAAATTCTCATTCTCTGTCTCTTACTCACATACACATACCGAGCTAATACACCCATATACCACCCATGAGGGAAGATACTGCTCGTTTTCCAGAGTGGAAATACACATGTGTATCCCCACAGCGCATGTCACAGTTCCATTACAACCTCATCCCTTGCTATCACCATCTGTATTTCCCCTTAAACATGCTACTGGAAGGTAGTATTCTGGTCTCATTCTATATTTTTGTGATGTACAGTGAAGGCGAGACCCATTTTCATATGCTCACTGGTCACTGGCATATAACATTTTTGTAAAATATGTTCAAATACTTTGCCTATTTTTTTCGATTTCCCTCTTTATTACTGACTTGTTGGAGATCTTTTACTCTTCTGCCTACAGTTTTCCTAAAAATTGCACAGTCACAAATCTCACATTTTTTACCTCCAATTTAGAATGTACTCCTGGACATCCTTATAATCCAATTATACTACAAATTTAAGGGGTTTGGGCAGCTCTCCACTATCTAAAGGACTGGGTAGAAGGCTCCCTTTGATTTTGCTGATACTTAAATTTTGACTCTTTTCTGATGACATTTCCACACAAATGTACATGGGGCTCCAAATAATCAGGGTCCTTCAAATTTACCATCCCATTTTATATTATTTCATCCTTCCTCAAATGTCCTTTCCTCCCTCACTGACCTGCAAAACCCTCAATTATGTTTAAATGCTGAATTCCTGAGTTTCCACCTAAACGTGATTCCCTCCCTAGAAATATCCTAACCTTTATATATCTAACCCACTATACTACTGTGTCCCATTTTAACAAGTTCCATATATTAGTTTAATTTTATTGTTCTTTTTTTCTCAGTGGAAGCATATTTTCTGAGAGTTCTCTGGGACACATACACCGTTTCACTAGTGCCTAGAACAGTACTTGCCACATAAATTACTTACCAACAGGTTAGAAGAAAATATGGACAAAGGATAGCCACGTGGAGAAACACAAACTTGTTTTAAAGCTGTAAAAACATAAAACAGTATCAGAAAGGTTTAACACAGTAGCATCTCTTTTAAATTGCTTTCCCTTCAAGTGACAGTTTTGGCAAAGTGTCTCAGCACAACCCTCAATCCTATTTAAGTATCTAAGAATACAAGTAGGACGCAATCCCAAACATATGTCATGAACAGGTTTGTCATGAACCTGGAGAAAGTCTTTCAAAAACTTTAAATACAATATTGATGAGACCAAAATATTTCTTAAATGTCAAGATGACTTAATAAAAGTGTACAATATTAGATAGTGCCCCAATAGTCTATATTTTAAAGGGTTTAACAACAAAAAAGCACAATATTCTTAGAGGACAATATCCAAGAATAAGCTCAGTGGTAGAACACTTACTTGGTGTTACTTTTCTAAGAAAAACATACTATGACTTGCCGCCCTGACTTATGATGGCCTGACAGCCAAATACAAGTACCTGATGTTACTTTTCCAAGAAAAAGAAGGTGTCCTAAGTGCTGTAACGGAAGCTGATCCAACAGCCATAGCTTTATTCTTTCCTGTCATGGTACAATCCTTACAGATTTATTCTGTACCTTTTCTCCCTTCAAAAAACAAAAACAAAACAAGACTACCAGCTGTCTGTTTATGTATATGGAGCAAAAAAAAAAAAAAAAATACTGTAAGCACTATGTGATCCGCTTAGAGTTCTACATAAGATGGCTCAACTAGTTAAACAGAACTACTAAGCAACCAAAGGAAGCAGGCCAAGACTGAAAACTGTAAAACGAACTACCTGAATATTTAGTTACTTTGAGTATCTTAACCTTCGCCAATTCTATCCTTTTCCAACATCTATGGATTATCCTACCTTGTATAAATCCTCCCATCCCATTACCAGTCTTACCTACAAAATTTGAAAATTGATAGATTTAAGGCATTTACTGATTCTGTTAGTATTACCTGATTTTAAGGCACCTAAGGCCTCCTGAAGACCCAGAAAGCTACAAGGAATGACCACTCATAAATTACTAAGTAGACAAATGACACCTGATTTTTCTGCAAATACTTTTTTTATTCACTGACTATTTTACCCCATACTTACCTTATCCTTTTAACCAGCAAAGTTCCAGTCCCCAAAGTATAGACTAGTTCAAAGATTTATCTTTCTCCTTTTCCAGGAGGAGGAGTCAAACATCTGACTATGGCGAAGAGGTGCTTCAGCAACTATGGGGAGTTACCACACATCATAAGACAATACCCTTCTCTAGCAAATGAACTGAACAGCAACAGGTCCTTTCGTTCAGAGCTTTGTTGTACTCATTTGCCTTGAGCTGAGCTGTTAGGTGTTTCTGGTAACTTTAAGATACTCCAGTTCACTCTTAGATATTGCACTATAACCAGATCTCTTAATTCACACCATCCAAAATATGACTCTATGCACCCAATCTAACCTACAATGAGCATATTTAATGAGAGCGTCCTTTCAGGACTTCAGCAGGACCCAGAGAACGAACTGAGGAAAAATAAAATAATGAAGGCAGAAAATTCAAGTCTATAAGAAACGTAGTCACCAATTAGCAGTACAAAGTCTTTAGGAAAAAAACCAACATGAGGATTTTGGAAGCCTGCTCAGTAATCATCCAAATGGAAATACTAAGCTGCCCCCAAGATCTCTTTTACTTTAGGTTTCTCTATGGAAGAAACCGAAACTAAGAATCCTAGAAGTTATTTAGAAATGACTAGCAACAAGGAACTGCAGCACATCAGCTAACCAGGCCCACACTCTCACGTCAGGACATACTCACTCCAACCTTACTAGCTCGCTCACACTCATAACCTCCTTCCCCGCGAGTTTTCCTCACCTCATTTTTACTCTGCCTAGACCCAGATCCACTGTCAAAGTCTATGGGAAAATGGGAAAATATTACAAATCCCGTCATTGAAAGTATGTTCTCAAGGGTTCTTTGCTTTTTTAGAGACAAATTCTGAAGATATACTTATTAACTAGATTAGAATATTTTAAAAATAGACAGTATTCTTTATTAGACTATTCCAAGTAGGTACCAGCCGTAGGTTTGCTACATTTTTACAAATAGAACTGATTAGTTGCTTAGCAAGTGGGCCCGGAAGGACTACACTTCTGTACAGGTTTTATGGCTAAGAAATTCATATAATGGGAACTGAGATTACAGACACATGTATTTGCTAAGAGATATTATTTCATAACAATTCAATGGGCTGAATTCCTATTTTCAAGAGAAATATGTCATCTTTACACTCAGAAAAAGTCTTCAGTCTCATCAGGAAAACAAAATGTATATGTAAAGCAAAATAATTCAAAGAGTTGGCCTTCCATATTCACAGGTTTTGCAGTCACTGACTGAACTAATCCCAGGTTGGGGTAAAAAAATTATACCTAGACTGAACATGTACAATAGTTTTCTTGTCATTCCCTGAACAATATATTTAATCTACTGATGTAACATTTGCATTGTATAATAAGTAATCTGGTGACTTAAGGTATACAGAAGGCTGTGCACAGGTTATATGCAAATACCGTTCGATTTTGCATAAGGGACTATTGTACCTGTAAAGCTTTTAGAATCAATCTGAGGAACATCTATCTAAGTGAAAATAATTTTGCTTTTATTAAGCTCCATTAGAGACTTGCATTAAAAGGAATTTTTTCCCACCAGTAAAATTCTTATCCTGTAGTCTGATATTCTATAGGTATGACTCAATTGAAATATCACTGGATTATATAATACTTTATTTGATTCTAATTTTTGGAGTTCTAATCATAAAATCAAGCATGTCAGCTCTGCTGAGAAATAACTAAAGGAAAATAAATTCAGATCATTTTTCCACCTGGCCAAACTAGCAGTAGAAAGAGAGCTTAAGATGCTCTAGTTCCACATGTTGTCAGAATATAATTTCTTCAAAAGATCATGTTAGAGATAACCTATTATAGCATGAAAATTACACACTCCTAAGCCCCACCTTGAAACAAATTTAGGAAATAAGGCTGCATGATGGTTTTAATATTTTTGTATCCTCAAAACTTCACTGAAAATTACTTCCAGGTCAACAGTTGGATCGTGAGGCTTTGGGTGATGGTTGGGGCCGGTGAGCTCACATTCACACTATGGTCAGGAGTCCTCCCAAGGGGACCTGGTGGAGTCTGTCCCTCATGCCCTCCTGTCCTCCACCGTGTGACGACACAACATTCCTCTCCTAGGAGGCAGAGCACTACTGCAGATGTCATCCTAGAAGCATAGGACAGCCCTGAGCAGACGCTGGCATCTTAAGCTTGGACTGCTCAGCCTCCAGAACTGCAAGAAACAAGGGACTATTTTGTCCTCAACTCCTGGACTCAAATGATCTTCCTGACTTAGCCTCCTAAATGGCTGGGACTACAGGTATGCTACCAGGCCTGGCAATTTCTCTTCTTTATAAAGTACCCAATCTTGTTTTGTTATCCGAGCAGGACAGCACAAATTAAATCAGGCCTTTATTTCCATTATGCAATTAATTAAAACTTTTACAATTAAATATGTACAAAACTAAATGACACAGAATGTGGCTATCACTGTATAGGTATTACAGTATCATTTCCTAAAGGTGATTTACATTTATAACACAGAAAAAATTATTCCACTGGTGGGTTTCTAGGAAATGCATGTCCAGGAAGTATAACTGTAAATGCATAATAGGTGTCACAGTTGTTGACCAAACAGAGTTGTCTTTATAACTAGGCCTCTGTCAGCCTGCCACAGGGCCACCAATTCTACCGGTCCTGGGTTCCTGGACTTCTCCTTCCTTTCAGGAAGGAGGACAAAGGTTTATTGTCAGGTTTTATCAACGCTTATACACACAACAATGTGTCCAACACTCCCTCTATTCTCATTCTCTTTCCCCCTTCCCCTCCAGTTTTCTACTTCTCAGGCCTGCATCTGGTCTAGGGAAAAATCTGCTCTCCAGCCTACTACCAGCTCCGTCTACAAAGCGGGAAGACCTACGCTGTCAGGGCCAACCACAGTCTCTCCAGCAGTGGGTTTTCACGTGGACTCTGCATGTTTTACTTGGGGGATAATCAAATGCAAACAGACCGCTGCACGGAGGGGCGTAACGGAGTCAGAGCTGCCCCTCCTCTCCACGCTGACCATTACGTCAGACAAAAACGCTAAAGAAACCTGAGAAAGACCTAGATGGCTATTCAGAAAAATACATTTTCCTGTTCGCCATAATGTTCAGTTTAGGAAAAAGAACAAGGAATTAAACTAGAAAACAAGGAGGAAACCTTATAAAATCATTAGCATTTGATGTTTGCCAGTTGTTCCTTAGACAAAGGATTACCATCGAGAACATATAAAGAACTCAAAAAAAATCAGACCTCCCAAATTCAAAGACCCAACCCAAAAACGGTCATCTGAGAGGAATATGCACTTCTCAGATGAAGAAATAGAAACAGCAAATATATATGAAGAAATGTTCAACATCATTGGCCATTCAAGACATGCAAATTAAAACAACACTGAAATTCCACCTCACCCCAGAAAGAACGGCTATCATCAAGAAATCAACCAACAACAAATGCTGGATGTGCTGTGGGGGAAAAGGAGCCATCTTTCACTGCTGATGAGAGTGTGAACTGCTGCAACCACTGTGGAAATCAGGGTAGCGATTCCTCCAAAAACCAGGACTGGAGGTCATTGAACTCTTAGCCTGCCTACATAACAATAATCCTTTGCCCCATCAGACATTAAAAAAAATGTTATGTGAGCACAAGTGTGTAGCGCATGCAGTTCCCTTTTCCCTCTGGAAGGGGTGCACGTACCCAACATATCCTGGTTCTCTTCACCCCACTTCCCTCCCCACCCACTCCGTCCCCTACTTCAGAGCCCCTTCCCCATTTGCCTTATGATTTCTTTTTAAGTTCATGTTTACAACACATAATGATTAAATTCATCGTGGGTACTTGGTACAGGAAGCCTCTGAAATGCATTTATGCCCCACCTCAGTTTCTTGGACGCCTTCCCATTATGCAAAAATCTATGCCCCCAATTCCTTGTATCAGTCTTTCATTTTACTCTTTAGGAGCACTCTGTATTATTCAAATGACAGAAACCATACAGTAGTTAAGCTTGTGTGACTGATTTCACTTGGTACAGTGTATTCAAGGTACATCTATTTTCCTACAAATGTCTTTGATTTACCCTCCATTATAATCTTTGACCTATCTCTCAAATGTGGATTTCTCGAAGGAAAGTTTGCTGTTGTGTTATCCCCGTAACGGCAGGTTAAGGGCATTTTCTTGTCCCTTCCTCCCCTCACTCTTACTCCACTGCTGAGGCCTGCTAGACCGGCTGGCTGACAGGTAAGTCCAAATACGAAAATCTAATTTGAGGACAGCTCGCTACGTGTGTGTTCATCCCAATTCCCAATTCAGAGACTCAAATAAACAAGAATTCAGGGCTGCACAGACTTTCTGCCATTATTCAAGTGTGACAGTAACTGAAAATTAAAGTAAGCAAAGCCTAAGATTCAGGACCCGTTTAAGCAACTGGATAAACTACATATATAAGAGTTAGTTCCAGAATTACACTGCAATGACAAGGTTCTGAGGCATTTAAAATTGTGTAATTTTCCTAAGGGCAAAAATGTTTAAATCTGTCACGCAGGCTGCCTCGCTGTCCCACTACAAAGCAGTTTCAGCTGACCATCTGAGACCAAAGGTTTCACTCTCCGATTTGTTCGTTCTCAAGTTTTACACAGGCAATAAAGTAACAGCTTCCCTCAGTGCACCGAGAATAAGCCAAGCGAAGTCCTTTCTCGTGTATCCATTATTTTGGAATCTCTAAATGCAGACAGAAAACAAGGGAAAAAAGTCAAAAGTATGTGACTTCAGACTGTCAACGAACAGGCTGTCTCTGAGGCTTCGACGTGAGCCTTTCTGGTTGGTCCACGCCACCCGCACAAGATTCCCACAGGAACAACTCTCAGATCCTCAAATCCTTCAGCTCTCCTGCGAGTCCAAGCCCTAGCACAATAATCCTCCTACGTCTTCCACTTTGTTCTTCCTCCGAGTAAATCTAAAGTTATTTCCTCCAACACCCTAAACCACGCACACCCCCTGACTGTGTGCGCTCACATTTACGCCCCTTACAGCCCTCCTCGCTGCCCTAATGACTTCTTTAACCGAACTGTCCCACTAACTTTAGTTGCAAAACACCTGCAGTACTGCAACAGTGCCTGACAAACACTACGGGCCGACAGTGACTCTCTTGGACTAAATGCACGAGACTTAAGAATCGGGACGCAAAGCCTCGCGGCTCTCCGCGCTCGCGCCCGCACTCACCCGGCGCACCGCCCGGCGCTGCGCACAGCTGGCTTCCCGCTGCGACGGGCCGCCCGACCGCTGTCAGAGCAGCGAGGGCACCAGCCGGCGTTTTATCTCTCCGTCCCTCCCTCAGGTTTCACAATCGCCCTTCTTCCCCCACACTTAGCCGCCCCCAGCTGGCGCCAGGTCTGCACACGACGGGGTCTCGGCCACTCCCGGCCTCGCCCGGTCTTCTCGGCTCCTCCACAGCTACGGCAGCAAGTGCTGCGCACTGGGTCCAAGATGCGGACGCCGGGAAGGCAGGCAGCGGTGACCCTGGGGGTCTCTTGATCCTTGTCAGCCGCGTCAACCTCTGGTTTTAATAATCTATATCCTCTCAAATGTGTGCAGTTTAAACGGACTGCAGCACAGAAAAACTACCAGTATGAATCCAGAATGAAAGCTCCCATACAAGGCTGTTGCTCACTGTGAGAAGTCTGCACTACATAAGTGACACAGGACACGAATTAAACGCGAGCACAGGCTAAGACGTCTACAGATCGCGGGCCGCATTACCTAAGCCGGCACGGCGGGCTCAAAGGATTCCGGGCCGAGCAGGCGCGCCGCGGACCAGGCTCGCCACCGTCCCCCAGAGCCGGCGGCGCCCCTCGCCAGCAGGGGGCACTGCGCGTGCGCGAGCTCCGCGGGGAGGCGCTCGGAGTGCGCTGGGAAAGACGCTAGCGCCCACTCCCCAGCGACGTCCCAGGGCTCGGTGGCCAGGGGCCGCTCGCGTCCCGCGGTGATCCCGGAGCGCGGAGCCGCGGCGCCCCGGCGAGCCTTCCGCTTACCGGAGAACCCACTTCCGGTTTCCGAAGGGTGGGCACCGCTGCATCCCCGTGCGCGGGCGCGCCCTCTCCCCGCCCGCGGCTCCGGCGTCTCCGCCCCCCAACACGCGCGCCCTCGCCCCGCCCGCGGCTCCGGCGTCTCCGCCCCCCAGCACGCGCGCCCTCGCCCCGCCCGCGGCTCGGGAGTCTCCGCGCCCCGCGCTACTGTGGGCGCACCCTTCGTGCACGTCTGGGTGACCTCAGCTCACCGGCCCGGGCCGGTGTGCTTCCAGGGTTCCCTTCTGCAGCGGAGTTTACGCTGAGGAGGTTGCTGACACTCTTTCCTGTTCTGCTGTAAACCTGGAAAGAAGGGAGGGAAGCTCGTGTAGGGCATGGGTGGGGGAACCCTTTTTTGGATATCAGCGTTATTGAGGGAAGAATGGGTATTTTGTGATTTTTAGTTTTATTTATTTTTTTTTATGTATTTAGTACAGGGCCTGCAAGGTCTCACTACACAGATCGAACTCGTAGTGAGCCTCCTGTTTTCAGCCTCCCAAGGGCTGGGATTACAGGCCCACACCACCAGGCCCATTCTCTGTCTCCTTCTCCATGCGCCCCGGGGGTGGGGCAGGGATTGAACCCTCATCTCTGCGTCTGCCTAAGCAAACACTGTAATCTGCAGAGCTATCTGGCCAGCCTATTTTGTGATGTTTTTAAAAATGCAATATTCTGTATGTATCATGAATGTGATGTCCTTTATAAGGCCCGGGGAGCTTGAAACCCGGGGCCAATATGAGTTTTATGCCAAATCAGTACAGGCTCCCGTGACAGCTAAAGCAGAGGTGGCTTGCACCAGGATCGGCCCCCTCTGATGCAGACACTGAGGTTAGGTTTTCAGGGAGCTACTATGAGCTGTGAATACTTCTGGGCGCTAGCTGAGGTGGTGCAAACAGATTTGATCCATAGCTCCAAATAGTAGGGAGAAAAAGCTGAATTTATTTTGACTTCCGCAGAGCTAAGTTTTTTTTAAGGAGGAGGCAAGGGTCCACTAAGGTAGGTGCTCAGTCCACTGAGAAGTTGGGAAGGGATGGGCAACAACGTAATTGTGATGAGCCAGGCAGTGGTTGTTGTGCTTCAGAAACTGGAAGAAAACCATGGTCTTGTTGGTTGCAGCCCAGGATAGGGCTCTCAGGTCCTTGAAGTTCTGAGTTGCAAGAGACGATAAACCCATCTAATAACTCGGCCCTTTCATCTGTTTTGTGTTGGTTGAAACAGTTAAGCTTGCACAGGCAGCTGTTGTGGAGCATGGTCTTGATAAGCATGCGACCTCTTCCTTCTGGGAAAGCGTACTTGAGTGTGGTCAGGGCACAGAGTGCAAGAATTGGATAGAGTCATCGCATCCCCAGGAGTCTGTGGTTGTCGTAGATGAAGTTTGAATAAGTCCAGTACAGATGTTCTTCTTTTAACGACCGAGTTCCATTTCTCCAAATGAATCAGTTTTATTAGCACCCAAGGAATTGTTGGAAGCCAGTAGTCCTTAGAAATGAGCCCCCCAAAAGAATGCACTGCTAAGTTTTTCTTGTCCCCTGGCAACAGGTCTTATAAGACCTGTGTCAAATCACTCCCTTCTGCCTCTGAACAGGGAAATCATGCTTTAATATCTTTGTATATTAAAGCACAACAAGCAAACTCATGCTCAGTATCCAGAAACTGTCAGCTAGCTTATTTTTCCCCGCTATCAAACATGATAGAAATATACATACTTTGAAAACATTTGTCTTTTAATGAATACAGTGTTTATTTGTACAAAATGCTTAGTGATCATGCCTAAATACAGTAGGCTACAGGCATGTCATATTTTAGAACTGAGTTCCTGGGGCTGGCAAGGTAGCTCAGCAGACTAACACATGTGCTTTGGCAAGCTTAGTCAAGTGCAGGGACGCAGTTCAATCCCTCGCGCCACATCCTGCGCCAACAACGCCCCCGGGGCAGGCTGAGCTGGCCACAGTGTCAGGGCCTGGTGACGCACACCTGTTATCCTAGCGCTGGGGAGGCTGACAGCAGGAGCATCACCACAATTCCAAGCTGCACAGTGAGACCCTGCAACAACCAAATACACTTTAAAAACTAATAAAAAAGTAATAAAACTGAGTTCCTTTCCCAACATAGAAACCAGACCTGAGTCCACATTAAAATTTAAATATGAGCCTTTTCGCTGGACCATACTCACGCAGGAGAGGACAAATGGCCTGGAGCCTTAGAGGTATAGAGGTTTTAAGGGTAGAAACCACATCCTGTTTGGCAAACAAATTTGTCATTTAACATAGAACAGAACCTTTAGGGACAGTGTGACCATTACTCAGCATACATTCTTTCTAGGAACATTGTTTTCTGGGAACTCCCAGTCTATTGATGATTTATCGATGGTACACCAAGCCTCCTTGTAGTCTTACAAGGAAGCAGGGTCACAGAAAGTTGAGCAGAGTAATTTTTTACATTTAGTTTGACATTCCCTCATCACAAGTATGTACCTGGCAATATTCGGAACAAAGAAATGGTGAAAGGAGACTCCAGCTTGAGGACTTTGTTTTTATTTGCAGAACTCTTACATACAGTACTTTAATGTATAACAAAACATAAAGCTATAGTATATACTGTGTGGTACAATTAGCATAAACCACGGTATGGTATAAGCAAGGTGTACTGTACTAAAATGGTATTGAGGTTTTATTAATAAGATGTTCAGAACTGTAACAACAGCAACAGTAAGCCAAGCTGAAAGTCTGAGTAGTGTGTCTGCATCCTAAGTCCAAACAATCATTAAAGAAGTAGTTCGATGGGGCCGGGGAAATAGCTCAGGAGAATAAGTGCTTGCCTGGCAAGCGCAGGGTCCTGAGTTCAATCCCTGGTACCGGAAAAAAAAAAGAGGTAGATCCTTAAACAAGGAAGTTCTATATTGCCAATGGGAGGAATGGAATTAGCAGAGCACTGCATATGATACACAACAAGCAGAAATCTAGTTTGGTAGTACTGGAAGGAAGAAGTCATTATGAGAAATATTTCTTGCTTACTATGAAATTTTGGATCCATTATACTTGAAAAGAAAACTCATTTGGTTCATTGTCATCTGGGAGAATTAATCTGTTACTTTTCAGTGTGGTAGGCTGACTAGTTACCTGGTCTGCATTTTAGGATTGTTTATTGGTGTGATTTAAACCTCAAAAATGCCTCCAAGCCACATGTCTTGAGAGGAGATGCTTTCTGCACACGACTGGGTCCTTAGGGTACTAACTCGTCAATGGGTCAGCACCCTGGCAGGTGCATAGTGGGTGGGCTGTTGGGGGGGCCAAGTGGCAGAGCCGAGTCTCCAGGAACGCGCCTTCCAAGAGCTCTGACCTTTCTTATGTAACCACACGCCTATTTGATGAGTGTTCCAGCTTACAATCCTTCAGGGTTTATTTTTATTTATTTATTTATTTATTTATTTATTTTTACAGTTCTATGTACTTTTTTTTTTTTTTTGGCAGAACTGGGGATTGAACTCAGACCCTTGCGCTTGCCAGGGAAGCGCTTATTCTACTGAGTCATCTCCCGGCCATGTTGTTGTTTATACAGCCTAAATGTCTTTTTGGAACAGTACACCTTGTGTATACAGTTCTGTAATTTTTGCTGATTGTACTGTGCAGTGCTGTAGTCCTGTGTTCTATTGTACATTACAGTGCCATGTAAGAGTTACACTTTCCATTGAGCATTTCTTTGTTCTGAATATTGTGGCAGAGGTGCTGAATATAATTCCTCACTAAGCAACACATTCAGATCTAGTCGCAGGCCAAAACTCAGTCATTAAGCAAGGATCGTCCGTGTCCCTTCTGGCTGTCCTGGCTCTTGGCTTCGGCGGCATTCCTCCACCAGACCTTTCAGCTGTGAGGTTTATGCCTCAGATGCAAGCAACCTGAGGGTGCAAAGTCTAAAACCAGGAGCCTTAAGCCTTAATTAGGGCTTTCATTCTCGGAGCCATTTACTCCAAGAATCGTGTTCCAGCAGCAAAGGTGAGGAGTATATTCACCATTATATTGTCCTTCAGCCTTCCGAGCTTGGCAGCTGTAGCTAGCAGACACAGCCTTTGTAACCTGTGTTCTTTTGTGAAAGTGTAGCTCCCTGATGCACGCTCTTTAAAGTAAACAGAAAACAATGTGCAGGAATGATACTATCTCGTCTCTTGTCTGCTTTCCAAATGTTTTATTGTCTGTTCTCAAATAATTTACCAGTAAGTCGAGAAAATGCTTCAAAAGAGATTAAAACTGTCAAAGAGACTAATGTACTTTGAAGAGGAGAGAAAAGCTCTGCGGCTGGTAAAAATGCAGAGAAAATGGCACAAAGGAAGACCTGTTTTCAGGACTGATACTAAGAGGCTCACGTACACTGCCTCTGAGCTACAGCCACGGGCCTCTCCCTGTCCATTCTTCAATCACGACACATATAAAATTTCTTTCCTATGTTATACTTAATTATTTTTAAAACAAATATTTTCACAACGATCCCAAAACATTTTGGGAAATTAAAACAGTATTTTGACCCAAATTTACATGCGGATCAGCGACGATTCCAGCTCTCTCTCTCTCTCTCTCTCTCTCTCTCTCTCTCTCTCTCTCACACACACACACACACACACACACACACACGGTAAAGGTGCATATTTTAATCAAATACTGAATCCATCAAGAGATTTAAAACTATATTGTGTTTCTTCTAATTTCTTGTATCTGTCTCATACCCCACCCTACTTCCTTCTACACTTTTCTTTCTATATAAGAGAAGACATTCCTTAGCACTATTTCTAGTCATGTTTAAAAGACTGTGCGAATCTTCGCTGTCTTTAACGCATTCACGAGGGGCCTTAATGTGTACGCCTCTCTGCCAGGTGGCTTGAGCCATCGGGGCACATGCGTGACTGCCTCACGCATAATGGTACTGCTTCTACCCCCAGTGGTACAGGCTGCCCCATGGGACAGACATGCACGTGCCACCAGTGGGGCAAG